GTCCCTCTCCATGTGCTGGTCCTCCTGCCTCCTTCAGTTCTTCTCCCCTTCTCTGCCAGGTTAATTCTCATCATATTTCAAGAATTAAAGCAGGTGCCAAACCCTCTGGATGTCTTCCATGACATCACCATTCTCTCTCCTGATATGGACTTCATCACCCTTCTGTCTCCTCCCAGAACTTTACAGTTCTGGTCTTTACAAATACTTCAATGGTCTAAGTACCCATCTCTGCCCCACTGGCCTATGGGTTCCTTCAGGGAATAGCCCTCGTCTTGCATTCCTAGCATCTAATAGTGTCTGGCTGACTTTTGACAATTTAGATTTGCTCATGAGTTTCTCATTTTCATCCTGCCTTGGTCAGCAGGGCCTGCAGGTTCCCTGACTTGCTTGTGCTGGCCTCTACAAGTGCCTTTTATGAATTCCAGATTAATGCCCCATTCCCAGCTTTCTCCCCATCCCTGCCTCTTCCAGGCTAGGGTGCATACTGCTGCCTTTGTAACTAAAATAGTGCCACATTTACTTTCTGGAATTATGCCTAACCCAATCTCTGTCCAGGACTTCACGGGTCCTAGATCATTAGTGAAAGTGACCTTGGGATATCAGAGCAACACAACATTAAGGGGAGACCCAGATTCTAGACCCAGATTCTAGGAGACCCAGATTCTAGCTTCTAATAACCAGAAGCTAGCAGTGGCATGCTATTTAACGACCCCTTCCATACACAAGAACACTGGCTTTTTCTTCTTCCTGTAAACCTCCTAAGTCATTTGTGACCCGATATATTACTGACAATACCCCATGCTGCTGGTTGAACATTGCTGCTCTCCACCATTCAATCGGTACTGCAGAAGGATAACTGAACAAATACCTGAAATGTTATTAGTAAACCAAACATGGCATCACCAAGAAGAGACTTTAACTATTGAATGTTAAATTATTACATTTTTCTTCCTTTTTTAAAATTATTTTTAATTATTTTTAAATTTATTTCTGTTATTGAAAGTATGACAGATGTCACCTTCTCCCCACCATTACCTCCTACACCTGTCTACTCCACCTCACTCCCAGGCCTTCACTGCACTATTGTCTTTGTCCATGGGTTATGCATATATTCATTCCATAAATCCTTTGGTTAAACTCTTTCACACCTTTCTTTCCCTCTGAGACTTGTCAGTCTGTACCATGCTTCTATAACCCTGGATCTATTTTGTTCAGCAGTTTATTTTATTCATTAGATTTCAATTGTAAATGAAATCATATGACACTTATCTTTCTCTGACTGGCTTACTTTACTTAGTATAATACTCTCCAGGTCACTCCATGCTGTTTCAAAGGGTAAGAGATCTTTGTTTTTTACTACTGCATAGTATTCCATAGTATGAATGTACCACAGCCTTTTTATCCACTCATCTACTGAGTGGCACTTGGGCTTTTTTCAAATTTTGGCTATTATAAATAACTCTGCAATGAACATAGGGTGTATATACTCTTTTGAATTAGTGCTTTTAGTTTCTTCAGATATATTCCCAGAAGTGGAATCGCTGAGTCATAAGGCAGTTTCATTTTTTTAACTTTTTGAGATAGCTCCAACATTTTAAAACTCAGCTTCCTAGGATCCAATTCAGACCTATCTTTGGAGGGGGGGATTCTTTTAAGGATCAGCATTTTTATAATTTTTATAAATGATCTAATATACAGCCAGGTTGAGCAATTCAATGACCCGGGATCTTTTGGACCAGGGAATATAAAGGTTAACAGGTCCAGGCAGCTTAATGAATAATTAAGGTTTCCTTTAAAATAGATTTTTAATGGCACCAATACATTTTTCATACACACCTTTAATCCAAAATGTGAATATGAAGGATGAAAAACTAAATTAGAAAGTCTGTTTAAGTCAATATATAAATCATGCTTTGCAAAAGTACAGCTTCTTATGGTTAATGACATAGAAAACATGAAAAGAAAATGAAGAGTATTCTGAAATGTGTGAGCCTAAGGAACCCACCCATCATTACTCATGTGTCAGAAGATCACCATCCCAAATGGCATTTAAAAGTCACAGCAATATCATGGACATAATCATCCTGCTTAATACGCGGAAGTTTACCCAAAAGCTCCATTTCTCTAGACTTGGCTTTTTAAATGTCAGCATCTGAATCAACACAACACAATCCAAGCAAAAATTTCACACTGGAAATGTCTGACAAGAGGAAGAGACAACAAACAAGGGAGAGAAAACAAAATGAAAGCACCGTTTGCACAGTTTTTTAAATGTAAATTTTTGCTGTAGACCTTTACATAAAGGTCCGGTTTTATAGCTACAACCTCGAATAGGTTGTTACACAGAGGACGTCTGTAGTAAATGCTTGAATTGACCTTCGTTTCAGGGATCAATCTTTAGCTACACCTTGAAGAGAGTGTCCAGCAGCAGGTAAGTGTTGGCCATAGCCAACAGTCTACAGCACTGAGAGTAAGAGATCTAGATGAATAGCCCATGTTCCCAACATAACTATGGCTTAACTTAACTAGGTTTAAATGATTCCAGATCCTGGACCCACACTGGCAATAAGTGTATCTTCTTTCTCACAGATTGAACAGGTCTAATATCCCCTTTACAGCAATTAACTAATATATCAAATAACATGAACATATACATACCTCCCACCCACGAGTGTGACATGAGGAAGCAAGGTATATTTCCAAGGTAGAAAATTAACTCTAGTGGTCATTTCTTTAAAGAACTACAGCAATTAACAACTTTGTTTCTAAATTTAAAAAAAAATAAAAATAAAAAGTCCCCTACTACTGCATAAAAAGTTAAAATTAAGCTCCCACAAACTTGTAGAACATTCTCCCTTCAAGTAACAGTAAACATTCCGGGGCAAACATGTTTGAAAGGCATAGCCTTTACATCTCTTATTAACCTTTAATAGTCCATGGATTTGCAATCTCCTAAATAAAGTAAATATATTTGTAATGTTTTCTTGTGTCTCAAAAAAGCAACTCACTGTATGAACGTACATTGGTCAATTTATTAACAACATCAACATTTACACATTTTATAAATTATTTTCTCTCCAGTGTTACTCTCTCTCTAAAAAGACCGAAAGCTAAAAGAAAAAGAGGCATTCATTATGGACCACCTCCAGGCCAAGCAGGATGTCAGATGCCTTATTTACTCTGTTTAAGTGAATCTTCACAATAAACCCACTAGGTACCAGCCTTCCTCCCAAGTTATCTTTCTTCTTTATAAAAATGAAGAAACTGAAGCTCACAGAAATGACAAAAGTGACTCAAGGTCACACCTCTAAGAAGTGGAGAAGTTGCAACTTTAATAGAAGTCTGACTCAAAACCCCATGTTCCTGCAAGCCTGGCATAGAGTCTCTCTGTTTGGGGGGGTTAAGAAGATAACGATGAATAAAAAATATTTCCATTATTTTGTATGGCTCTCTAATTGGCTAGCCCAGTTAAACTATTTTTTCTCTACCACAACTTAATAAGCATCTCTCTTAGAAACAGGTCATCAAAGCAGTCTCTTGTAAAGCAAAGAATTAAGGAATTTGAGACTGGAAGCAGGAACAGTTTGAGAGTTTTATTTTTACTCTGAAAAGAGAAAAATTCACCATACTGATCATCCAGAAATATCTAGTTCAACACTGCCCATATGATGACCAGAGATCGAACACAGAGTCTTGCAGGAAACACAGAACCCAGCAGACAAGTCAAACATTTAGTGAAATAAATGAACATTAACTCGTTTTTCTTAAAATGTAATATAGTTAGGTTACATTGTCACAAACAAGCATTAAAAAGGCATATAAGAAGCAGTTATTTCCTCAAATTCAGTATGCACACAAATAAAATGTATGTGCTATATTTCCTTCCTTTAAAATGCATCCTTTCAACTGTCTCTATTTGAATTGGTAACATCAATGTCTTTCTATAACCCAAGGTCAAAAAACCCAGTCATCTCTGATTCACTATTCACTTCCTGATTCCATATTCATTTCATTTCCAAGTCATTTTTTAATTCTGACTCTGTAAACCCTCTGCTCAGTCCTGCTCAATTCTGAAGGGCATGTCCCCTGCTAGATTAATGTCCTCCTTACCTTTCTCACAGGCACAGAAATATCCCTCCAGGAGCCTGCAATCTACCCTGATAACAATGCATTTGCCACATGGGGACAAGACTCATCATCCCAAACAGACGCTGACTTTACAACTCCCAGCCCACAAGTTTTCCACGATTAAATTGCTTATGATTCCACATGCTAAAAACCTGGCTCCATCCAGCCTGTCTTCCCAAAATCGCACCTCCGTTTATGTCTAGTAATTCATCCTATGCCCAAGCTAACTGATTCTGGTGGCTGTTCCCTTCTCCAGTTCTTTGCCTTTCCAGTTCTTTGCCTTATCATCTGGAATGACCTTCTTGCCAAATAAGCAATCTCACCCATCCTTTAAAATTGAGTTCAAAGACCATTCTTCCCAACCAACTCTGAACTCTGCTGCAATTAAATAATAATCTACTTGCAATTCTCTTTTGGAAATAAGTGGGTAGACTCTATTACAGTTTCTTGTATATCTCTCGCCAATTGTAAACATCTAATATATATTACCTCAGTGTTTCCCATAGCACCTAGCCCGGTTCTTATACGTACTATCAGTTCGAAGAACATTCATGTAATCAATGTTATGGTACGGGTTTTAAATCAAAGGGGAACATGTCTCCATCTGTATTACACAGGTGATCTTTGAGTTTAAAGAAAACAAAATCACATAATATTTTCCCAAGTATTCAATACCAAGTATAACAAAATCTAACTGCCTTAAATTTCAGAATTGGAGAATCAGATATGAGAAGCAAACGATATTCATTTATCAGTCGAGGCAGTTCAGGCAGAAAACATTTGTCGAGCTGTCAACCATCAGTCAACCCTACACAGAACACAAACACACACACAACACAGCCAGCATCACAGCATTTAACCAGATGCCTTACTTTGCGGTAGACTATCATGTTTGGAGAACTGTCCTCTGGGTCAGCAGTTGCCACTGCTCTTGGCTCCCCGGATCCCTGAGCCATCCTGGATGTCTTCACTCACTCTGCAAAAATAAATTAACAGGTCATTAAGATATGCAAGAATTATATAAAGAGAGCTTTGCAATGCAAATAACTATGTCTTTGGGCAGGTGGCATGAAAACAAAGCATGATGTAAGAAATTATATGATTGTGGACGTATTGTCCACATACGTCCTTCTAATTCCAAAGCAACATATTCTTTATTTTTTAGCCCAGAACTGTACACCTGAGGGGTAATCATATGCCAGGCTTAAGTAATCTCCTGAAGATGAATGAAACCAATCATTTTGATGTTGATTTTTTTTGTAAACTCATTCTATGATTAATTCTATGCATTAAAATATGAATATTTTATCTGGGAAATGCAAATCAAAACCACAAGGAGATACTGCTTCATACCCACTGGAAGGTTACAATAATAAAAACAAAACTTCAAACAGTAATCATTGAAAAGGACATGGGTAAATTGGTACCCTTGTACATTATTGACAGGAATTGGAAAACATTTGGTGGTTCCTCAGAAATTAAACATAGAATTGCATATAACCTGACAATTCCACTCCTAAAAACTGAAAACAGGTATTCAAACAAACACTCAAACATGAAAACTCATAGCAGCACTATTGTCAAAATGTGGAAATAACTCTATGTCCATCAACTGATGAATGGATAAACAAAATATGGCCTACTCCTACAATGGAATATAATTCAGCCATTAAAAGTAATAAAGCACTGACACATGCTACAACACAGATTAATCTTGAAAGCATTATGCTAAATGAAAGGAGCTAGATACAAAAGGTCACTGCAATTGACTGAAGGTTTTTTGTCCCCTCAAAATTCACGTGTTGAAATCCTAATCCCAATGTAATACTATTAGGAGGTAGGACCTTTGGAAAGTGACGAGTGCTCTGATAAAAGAGGTTCCAGAGAGCTCTCTTATGAACCAGGAAACAGGCCCTCACAAGACACCAAATCTGCCCCCAAGTCTTGATCTTGGACTTTCCATTCTTAGAACTGTGAGAAGTAAATTTCTGTTGTTTATCAGCTTCTCAGTCAATGGCATTTTATTACAGCAGCCTGAATGGACTAAGACAATGACATAGTGTAGCATTCCATTCACAGAAAGTATATATAATAGAGAAATCTATAGAGACAGAAAGCAGATTGGTAGATACCAGCAACTGTAAAGAGGAGAGATTGGGGTGACTGCTTAACGGAAATGGAGTCTCCTTTGGAGATGATCAAAACAGTTTTCAGCTGATGGCTGTAGTACACTGTGAATGTTCTAAGTGCCTCTGAGATGTATGCTCTAAAATGGTTAATTTTATGAGCATTGTTATGAATACAGGAAATGTGCTGTAAAAAAGGCAGTGATGACAGGAGAGAGGCTATTATGGTTTAAAATAAGAATTCGTGCATTTGTGAATTTCACCTCAATTAAGAAAAATGAATGTTTTTAATTTGACCTTTTAAAACATCTGAGAAGATAGCAATGAGATAAGGACAACATAGGGACTTCTTGAGTAAAGAAGCAAGTTCAGTTCTTGACTTGACTTTGTATTTGCTGGGTGACCTTGAGCAAGTCCAATAACCTGTTGGGTGTTGAGTTCCTTTGTTAATTTTCTTTTAAAATGTACATGTTTAACATCTCCTATGTAGCTAGAACCAAGCCAAGGCACCTTCTTCTACGTTGCTCTCATCAGTAAAATGTGACTTCCACTGACTACTCACAGCTAAGGGTCAAATAAATGAGTATAAAAGTGTCCTATAAAACCATAAAAGTCCTATACAAATGTTATCTCTGATCTAAGAGCCTGCTTGGGTTATTTGCACAAAATTCATAAGCTTTTCATCAAAGGAACTTTTATAAATACCATACTCGACAGAAAAGGCCATTAAAAAAAAAAAAAACACCTCAGGAAACATTTTATTATAAAAGAAGTTGGTACCAAAAGTTATTCAATAAAAATTAATTTGGGCAAAAAACAGGGAAGAGAAAGAAATTTGTAATTTATGCTAAGAATTTAATTACCCAAGATATCCCATTTGAATAATGTTGATTGCTTTCTTCATCATTTATGAATTAGGATGCGTTTTAAAAGCTAGATTACATGAAGAGAGCAAGAGCATCATTCTATTATCTCTATCCATTGCAATATCAGTATTTCTATGAATATAGTACTACATGGAAACACTGATTATTATGCTAATCAGTGGCTTTGAAAGTTAAATGAACACACTGTTTATTTATAAATAACTAATTATTTGCCTTAATGCAGAATATGACTGAGCATGAAAAACAAATTTTGAGTCCATTTATGTATGCTCATTTGTCTATGGAACAGAGTCATTTGGGGCTCCTATTGCTTTATTTTAAAATGAACACTTCCACTTTAATGAGTATATTATCTTCCACCTCAGAAACTGTTATAACAGTAAGGTTGGAAATGACCTAGAAATAATCATGCCAGTCCTCCCTTTGCTTTTCCTTGACTCTCCTCCCTGCCCCCCAACAGAAGCAGGCTGATGTCCCAGGATCTGAGCTGCTGAGTGAATGGGGTTAGGAATTCCAGTGAGTCTGGTATGTAATAGAAAGGTTTCCATTTTGATTCTTCCATCAACTCATTTTGAAACTCAAGCTAGTCATTTACCTTTTCTTTGTCTACTGGTATAAAATATAAATTCTAAAATACATTTTGGTCCCTATGTCAACAGTTGTTAGAGAGAGCTGAGTGCAAAACCTGCATTGGTAAGGATGTTCTGATTAAATTCATTGACTATAAAGCTGGTGTTCATGAAATTAAAGGAACAGATTCTCACTCATTACAATATGGTATAAAATATATATTTTTAAATGAAGTACAATGGAATAGGAATATTTTAAATTTAGTGGTAGAGGAAAACAAAACTTCATGTTATTTATATATACTGCATGTATATACACAAAATAAATAATTCAGGAACTTTGGTTTTAATATTTGAAGAATATGTTTTTCTGAAAACATGACTACATTTCAATAGACTCTCCAAGAAGAAACAAGATAGTTTTGTGGCTACAGGCTGGCCGATGTCATCAGACTGATCTACATCTGGGTCCAGGCTCTACCATTCACTACTCTGTTTCCCCGAAAATAAGACAGTGTCTTATATTCATTTTTGCTCCCAAAGATGTGCTAGGTCTTATTTTCAGGGGATGTCTTATTTTTCCATGAAGAAGAATACGGTACAGATTTTTTTAAAATATATTTTATTAATTTTTTATAGAGAGGGAGAGAGATAGAGAGCTAGAAACATCGATGAGAGAGAAACATCGACCAGCTGCCTCTTGCACACCCCCCACCAGGGATGTGCCCGCAACCAATGTACGTGCCCGCAACCAATGTACATGCCCCGGACCGGATCGAACCTGGGACCCTTCAGTCAGCAGACCGATGCTCTACCACTGAGCCAAACCGGTTTCGGCACGGTACACATTTATTGTTAAATGAAAATTAAGGAAATTTATTACCTGTATACAGTATGGTAGTACGGTAGTTGTCAACACAAACCAGACAAACTGTGAATCCTACAGTATCAAGAATTTACTCATTTATTCAATGACAATCATGTCATCATCTTCTGGAACATCATCATAACAATCCAATTCCTGAATTTCCTGGTGAATTTCTTGTGACTCCATTTCTTTCAGAATCAGTGGACCAAATCTCTCAGGTTTAGCCTATGGGGGCCTTATTTTTGGGGGATGCCTTATATTTCACTCAGAAGGAAACCTATAAGTAGGTCTTATTTTCGGAGGATGTCTTATTTTCAGGGAAACACATTAGGTAAGGATGTTCTGATTAAATTCATTGACTATAAAGCTGGTATTCATGAAATTAAAGGAACAGATTCTCACTCATTACAATATAGTATAAAATATTTATTTTTAAATGAAGTACAATGGAATAGGAATATTTTAAATTTAATGGTAAAGGAAAACAAAACCTTCTGCATGTTATTTTCATATACTACATGTATATACACAAAATAAATAATTCAGGAACTTTGGTTTTAATATTTGAAGATTATGATTTTCTGAAAACTTGATTACATTTCAATAGAGTCTACAAGAAGAGACAAGATAATTTTGTGGTTACAAGCTGGCCTATTTCATCAGACTGATCTATGTCTAGGTCCAGGCTCTACCATTCACTAGCTGTGTGACCTGAGGCAAGTTACTTTACCTCTCTGTGCCTTAGTTTTCTTATCTGTCACAAAAATGTCCCAGCATAGTGGGAAGCCTTCTGAACTGGGAGGCCTAGTTCCTCCACCTAGTCTGCAACTAACTAGCTGTTGGAATCAGGTTAAGCCATGGCTTCTCTGCACCCCAACTGGACATTGACTATAAAACCCAGCATTCTTAGTATTCCCTCCAGTTCTGACCTAGAACTCAGAACTTCCAATTTCTAAATTTCCTTCAAAGACTCACCAGAATGTTCCACGCTACCTCTCTTCCATCACCACTGCTTATATGCTAACCCAACTCCTCCATTCGTGAGTGCTCATGCCAATCACAGAAGTGGGAGTAAGCTTTCCTTCCCAGCCTTAGCATGCCTCCCCCTGAAGCAATTCCTGTATACCACCACCCACCACTAGGTGCCACAAGACAACATTTATCCTTGGAGCAAACGCTGAGCATCCAATCCCAAGACTTGGTGCGAGGCCCTAGAGATAGAAAGATAAATCAGACACAGGTGCTCTCATTAAAGTGTTCAGAGTCCAGCAGGGGTGACAGACATGTCCACGAAAGCAGGACACTGTAATGTGTGGGTGTTCAGTTATAATGAACAGGAGGAGGTGGCCACTGATATGAGAGCAGGGTGAACGGGAGTCTAGGGAAGGCAGAAGAGGACAATGGAATCTAGGTGATGACACAGGCATGCACATCTAAAGACCCAGAAGTATAGACGCTCAAGAAGAAAAAGAACACATGAAGATGATCTGATCTCAAGGAGATTAC